GCCTCAGTATGGTCGAACCACTCAACCCCATGCTTAAGAAGAGAATCGCAAGTTAACTGCCTACACTTGTGCAGATTATAAATAAAGTCAGACTAAAGTCTGAAGTGTTAAAGAGCCTCACTTCATAAACATTGATGTGCATATGTTCAAAAACTTATAAAAGTACACGAGCTTTTAACAATTATACAAAACTACAAGTTTGATATTATTATTGGAGTGAACTAAGTTCGGATTATACTGAAGAGCATGGCAATACATTAAACAGAAGCAGTAAGTGCAGGAAGTAAATAACACCAGTACATGAGCTAAAAGAATTTTATTTATTTAACAAATATTTGACTCAGACCTGGGGAACTATTGTGATACTGGTATTTTAGTATTATTACATTATTACTGCTAGCATATACATTATATTATTGCTGCCAAGCAAGTACTTCACATCACTGTTAGCAGGTTATGACGCATATTATATCTCGGAGAAATTTAAAATGTCATTATTCACTTTATTATCATGAGTAATTTGAGGGGCAAATAGACCCCAAATTTATTTGGTATATATGTGCAGCGGATATATTGTATTGTATTACAAGATTGATTTAGTCCATATTACAGAGAAGATGCTGCCGAAATTTCGACAAATTATATGCAGCATCTATCTTTCGAGGCAATTCGTAAGCCCTCGCTTATTCAGTCTGCCACGAATATTTTCTGAGGCAGTTCGTAAATCCTCGCTTATTCGAGCTGCTTATCTTTTCAAGGCAATTCGTAAGCCTTCGCTTCTTCAGGATAGCACGCTATTTTCTAAGGCAAATCATAAGTCCTGATTTATTGAAACTGCTCATCTATTTTGGACCGAAGCATATTTTCGAGGCAATTCATAAGTCCTCGCTTATCGGAGTTTCCTAAATTTTTTAGGCAATCTATAAGACCTCACCTATTGACATCTTATATTTCAAAGTCCGACCCAGACAGGAATGTACGACTCAGACTTGGGCGACTATTGTTATACCTATAAAATATTTCCTATTGGGCTTGGACCTCGGCCCATTACCCATTCGGCCCATTTGTTTCTTTATATATATATATGTGTGTGTGTGTGTGTGTGTGTGTGTGTGTGTGATCCATTTCAATTAAGGTATGTTCTCAAATCCTATCAGCTTCCCCTCTTTCGTCCCTTGCACTCATTTTTTCTTTTGTTCGGCCGTTGACTTGATCGTCGGAGTGCAAACGATCGTCGAACCTTTTTCTCGATCGACGACCTTTGACTTCTAATGGGTGTTCAATGTCCAGGTGATGTCAATGTGGAGGGGACATGATAGGGATTCTCTGTTGGTTCATTTACGGAGCATAGCTTTGTAGTGTATAAATTGGATGAAATGGAAGATTAAATATCATATTCTAATCTTCATGCCATATTGATGCTTACATCAGATGGGATGATAAGGTATATTGGCACTTCACATGATTTTATGGAACCCATGAACTCTAACTAACATCGTGAATTTATTGTACCAGTATTGTATTTAAGCTTGATTCCCTAGTTATGTGGTTGTAATTATTGGAATACGATATAAGAATTACACAAAAAGTCAAAATCATCATGAAGAAAAACTCTCTTTACATCCAACTACTCCATATGTAAGTCTTCATTTGTCATTTGTCCAAGTACTGCTCCAATTATTGTTAATTTCACAAACGGAAAGAATCTCAAATCCCTTTACCACCAGCCTTGCTTTATATTGCTTGTTGCCATCACGTTCTTCTTTTACTCAATAAATACATTTATTTTGCGAAGCCTTCTTTCCTTTGATAACTCTATCAATTGTCATGTGTAATTGGAAAATAATTAGTCCATCTCATCCCTCAAAGCTAACTCCTACTAGATTAATTTATCAACATGTACAATTTCATTATAACTTTCTAATTTACTTTTATCAATAAATAGAAAACAATACAACGTCGGGAGTATATTTGTGGAGTTACAATTGTTCCTCTGAATCTCCCAAGTTGAGTCACAAGAGTGTTCTAAGACTCTACGTGGGAGTTGAGATCCTCTTTAAATCTCCCACTGTCCATTGAGGGTTATGGTTCTCTGTTAAACTTGAAGATCCAATGAGGGTGTTGAGGTCCACTATAGGTCTCACTTAAATCATTGAGGAGATGGTTATGTTATAACTAAAGATTCAATGAGAGAGTCGATGTCATACTTATGCCTTTCTCCATTAACTCATTGATAAATTATATGAAAGCCTTGGCAGGGAAGCTAAGCGTTCCCAAAGTGGACTTACCTTTCTTTGCCCTGCGTAAGCCAAATCTTTTGAGGATTGAAAAGAATGTCTCCAATTCAGAAAAACTTGGGACTGAAAGAGTATCTCCTAAAAATACATAACATGCATGGAACTAAGCTAAGAATCAAAAGTGGACTTACCTCCTTTAATCCACGTGGGCAGATTTTTAGGAATGAAAGAAGTCAAGAACACCCCATCTTGGGCCGCAATTCTTAGGGATTGAGAGAGAGGTCCTTATAAATTGCGCATCAAATTGAAAGAATATATGGGGTGCGATTTTTTGCTAAAATTATCAAGGATTAAAATAATATCTCTGATCGAAAAGGCCACAAAATTATACATGCAGTGAATCTCAATTCAGTACATGATGCATTGGAATACTTGTGGAATCAAAAATTTGAACTTTCAATTCCATTTATTTTTCTTTGACCTCCGCTCAATAATTACATAAGAGAAATGGGAAAAGTTGTGCAATGATCTAAGCAAGGCACTCAAAATTTCAGCATAGTAGTAACACGACATCAAAATTTTTTATTTCACAAAAATATGAAACTCAAACTTAGCGGACTAATGATATGTGTTGAAATAATTATTGTACATCCACGACATCTGCCATAAAAGATTCTCATTGCATGCCCACGTGTCTCTGAATATTAGCACCTCGATCATCATGGCTCAGTTGAAACAAAAGAGGTCTTCTTGACCTTTGAAATACCATTTAGTAACCTAATGCATAGAACCCAAATACTTGGCTAAGAACATAATCAAAAGCCTCAGCAAACAAAAGGTTCAAAGGCCTCGATCCAAACCTTGTATATGACCAAAAACATTAGCGTAGATTCTTACAAAAGAAACATGAACTTAAGTACAATAAACTCATACGTACACTCAACAAATTGCTTGAAAATAGTAAAAAAAATCACAAACCTCAATAAATCCTTTGAAATTGGACTTAATTACAACTTCTAATACAATGATGAGTGAATGTCAACTCATAAAAATGACTAAAATTTCATAAAAATCTATAAATAGGGTCATTTGCACAACTAAAAATGATTGAACATCTAAGATCCAAACTTTCACTCTTCAAAAAAATTGCCTAAGATCAAGACAAATTAAGGGTTGGCACATCGTAAATTCTCCAATTCAGGTGCACGTTCCAATCAAAACATCATCGAAACACCCACCTTTCTCCCTTTTTACAAATAATTGGTTCCTCAACAAATCCAAAAATTCTCCAAAAAAGAGGAAAAACCATGCCATAATTGCAAAAATATATATTTTTTAGGTCAATAATGCAGTTGACAGATGACAGATAGAGCGAAGGCCCTTCTCTACTTCTACATTCTTGTACACGTGTGTTTAGATATATCACTAGTTGAGATATGTTATTATCATTTGGCTATCCTTCCATTAACCTTTTGAGACTTCGACACTTCAACTCAAAATATTTAATGGGAAGGAGTAGGTCTATTTATTTGGATTAATAGTAGAAAGCCCTCTAAAAACGATTCCAATTGCGATATACCCCATACCTATTGAAAATCGCAGAAAACTCCCATATTTGAAACATTTTGTGATAAAACCCCCTACCGTCCAATTCCGTTAATTTTACCGTTAAAAACAGTAAAAATTGAAAAAATTAAAAAGAAATAATTACAGTTGTGATCCTAAACTTTTTTATTTTTTGCAAATTACACCAATTTTTTTTTGCACCACCCATATTCCCAAACATTTGAAACTTATCTTCCCCCGCTCCCACCCTAAACCTTTAACACGTGTCCTCTCACAGTGACAGTCCGCTAGAACCCTTATAGGATAGCCCGTCCCACGCCCTCCTTCGTCATACCCCTCCGTGAACCCCTACTTTCACCCTCAATTCCATCCGACCTCCCCTGTTTCCCCTTCGGGACATTTTATCTGTCGAAGTCCCTCAAAACCTTAAAAATCTAGATAATAATTTTCAACCTCAAACTAGGCCAATATCCAAGAATCTCAAGGTCTATTTAAGAATCCAACCTCTAGATATTTAGAAGAATCACGCCAGAAATGTATTTGAAGGTGAATTGAAAAATGTATGGCCAAAAACTTCGAGAACCAAAACCAATTCGAAGGAGAAGTTGAGAAAAAGTAGTAAAGTTTGTGTAACAGTGAATGACGATTTACACTCTGTTACAGTGTCACCCCTCAGGCTGTAGGGACTAAGAGGATAAAATCGAAGGTTTATGAAGGTTTCTCGCATGTGTTCTCTTTCGAAACTTCACGAGTTAATTATGCATTAATTTCTCCTCCTCTATTCAAATTCTTAGTTGTCTTTATATGGTGGTGACTTTTAATATTTATTATTATAGAGTGAGATGTATGAGAACACGTTGAAGCCATTAGTCGAAGATTTTCTCAAGGGAAAAAGTAGGATGTTGGCGGCAATGGGGCCGAGTGGATCGAGGAAGACACTCACAGTTTTTGGCTGCGCAAGGGAGCCTGGCATGGTACCACTTGCTCTTCATCACATTGTTAGCCTAAATGGCAGCAATGGAACTCAATCATCTAGGTTTTTACTTCAAGAGATTTATCAGTGATCAAAGCAAATAGAAATATCTCTTTATTAATTTTTTTCATGATTGTGCATGAACAAACACATGTTTTAATTGAAAGAATTTTGTAGGTTTTTTGTTTGGTTTGGGTAGGAGTGGGGGAATAAGTAATAAATGTTTGAGAATATGAGTGGTATAAATAAAAGATTTTGGTGTAATTTGTAAAAAAA